GCGTTCATGCAGGTCTCCGAGGCTACTCTCGTCGCGCTGGAGTCGCTGAAGACATCCTTCAATGTCAGAACAGCTGCTCGGTTTGCATTTTCGCGCCTTATTGGCGTTCTGGGATCCCGCATCCTGCCCCAGCTGCCGCGGTGGATTGACGGTCTGCTCACACAGACGTCCTCCCGGGATGAGATGGCTCTGTTCCTGCGACTGCTGGATCAAGTCATCTTCGGTTTCAAGGCGGAGATCTACTCTATCCTAGATGCGCTGTTGACCCCATTCCTGCAGCGGGTGTTCTCTGGCATTGCAGACGCCCCGACCGGCACTGATGACGAGGTCCAGCTGGCCGAGCTGAAGCGGGAATACCTCAACTTCCTGCTGGCGGTCCTGAACAACGAGCTTGGGGCCGTAATCATTAGCGAGCGTAAGTTTGGTTGATTTTGATACTATAAATCAAAACTAACGACACTAGGGAACCAACCCATGTTCGAAACGGTCATCGGTACTATCGAGCATTTCGCCAAGGACATTGAGGACTTCACTACTGCTAAGATGGCGTTCTCGGTCTTGTCGAAGATGGGCAGCTCTTGGGGCGGGCCCGACATTGCGCCGGAGGGTGCGAATGGCGCGGCAGCCCAGCAACAAGCACTGCCAGGATTTGGTCAGTTCATGATCACCCGGCTGTCGCCTCTGTGCTGGGCGCTGCCCGCAACCCCGTCCTTCAACTCGAAGGATGCACAGGCCAAGCAGGTCCTCGCCGAAGCAGGAGGTCTGCAGCGCACGATATACGCCAAGACAGGAATGGAGTACCTCCAGTACTTGCGGGATCGCGAGTTGCCAGGAATGGGAATGGGAGCGGACTTGGTGGAGGAGTTTGTGGGAGCATTGGGCCGGCTGGACATGAAGGGATTCCGGCAGTTCTTCCCGGTATGTGATCCTAACCATATATTCAGCGCACTAAACTTATTAACGTCCTTGACAGTCCTTTATCCAGCGATTGAGCGCATGATGTTGTGGTCTTTTTATCTCATCTTAACATTTTCATTTGTTTTACCCATCCGATCATTTGTTTCAGTCCTAGATTCCCCCACGGTTTGGTTTGATGACTGATGTTCTCATGTGACCATTTACAAAACATTCACCCACCCACACACACTGAAGCTCTTATCGCCGACACCCACACACATATAACTCCTGTCCCCTCTATCTCTCTATCCATATGTCCATCTGTCTGCTTTCCATTCTGCTTGAACTATTTGTATGCGGCCTTTGTCTGTTTCGGAACTAAGGATGATAAAAAAAAAAGGTATATAGTGTTTCTTTTCCTATATCCATTTTGGCATGGCATTTTATATTGCATGAGCAGGCGTTTTCAGACCCAGACTCCCAAGTCCGTTTGCGTGCCTGTATGCTGCTTTGCTTTGCTTGCTCTCCATTGCTTTTTTGAGGGTGGATTGCTGGTTGGTTGGTTGGTTGGTTGGTGGGCTGGCTAGATCGTTATTAAGTACCTACAAAGTTAGTTCGATTGATTTAGTTGGTTAAAAGCGGGTGAGGTGAGGGGGTGGGTTGGTGGAAGTAGGTAGGTAGGTAGGTAGGTAGAAGAGAACAAAGGTTATTAGGATAGATAGATGTATGTTTGGTCTGATTGATTGTAGACTATCCTATCAACCTAATCTCAATGACATAGCTAGTAGATAGTATCTCACTGCCACCTTTTACTCAATTCAACCCCTTGAATACCTGAACCAACTTGTCCTGCATATCACAGAAGATATTCACAGCCTAGACAGTAGTATAGCCCCATTAGCATCATCATCATCATCATCATCATCATCAACAACCACCCAACCAGCTCATCCCCCAAACCAAACAATAAAAGTATATATGACCAAACTCACCTGAGTCAACTTCTCCTCACTCAACCCATCCGCATCCCTCGTAAACGCAATCCGATACCCCGCCTCATCACCCACATACGACACTTCCTTATTAGGCACAGCCCCCTCCACCACAGCAGGAGACTCAAACAACGATTCCACAGGTACCTTCCCCTCCAACAACGGCTTCGCCAACTCGTCCAACAACCCAGGCGCAATCGTAATATGCTGTACGCCCGCCAAGGCGAAGATCTCGTTCGTGGACGTCAGACTAGCGGGTAATACCTGTGTTTGGGATCCGATGGAGGTGTAGTATTTCTGGACTAGGGCGCTGAAGTGTAGGAGGGGGGAGGGGTCTTTGAAGCTGTAAGTTTCAATTAGTACTGGATGTAGTTGTGTAGGTTTATGGGGGAGGAGGGGTAATAAGGGAGGTGTATACCCCGGCTCAAAATGCACTCGCAGTTGGTTCACGTATGGTGCTATGTACGTGCATCCTACTTCTGCTGCTAGGATGGCTTGAGGCATGGTGAAGAGGGTGGTGGCGAGGGTTCGTACCCCGGCTTGTTCGAGGACTTGGCATGCTTTGAGACCTTCCCAGGTGCTGGGGATTTTGATGCAGATGCGGGATTGGGGATGGGTGGGGGAGAGGTGGTGGGTTAGCTTAACTATGCCTGTTTTATTGGTTTTGGGGGTGTGGGGTTAGTGGTGGTTCAGTTGTTCTATTGTGTGGTATGTAGAGGGGATGGATGGATGGATGGATGGACGTACGGAGGGCGTTGACGATGGTCTTTTCGGTGGAGTAGGAATAGTAAGGGTTGGTTTGGATGTGGATGTGGCCGATTATGTGGGGGGCGATTCTGAGGGAGAGGGATATCATCTAGTTCAATTTATATATACTTTGTGGTGAGTTGTTGGTGTTGGAAAGGAGAATGGGAGGTGTACGCACTGCTATCTCGATGGCGAGTTCTTCGATGGTTAGACCGGGGTATTCTTGGATGAGAGCTTTGGCTTTGGTGAGAGAGGATTGGAGAAGCTCGGCATGTTCGGGCTTGGTGAGTTCGTTGTAGGCTATTGCCTGTGGTGTTTGTTGGCTGGGTGGTAAGGATGGGATGAGTAAAATGGATTGTAGGTGTATACCTGGTTGGAGGTGCAGTCATGGAAAGGACCAAGGGTTTTGGCAACTGTGCTTGTATGTTAACAGATGATAAGAGGTGCATGGAACAAAGTACGTGCCTTGCTCGTCCATGGTGTCGCAGTCGACGATGGAGCGAGAGCGGATGTAGTCGAGTCCAGTTTGGATAGTCATAATGGTTGCTGTACTGTCTGATGGTGGATTATTGACTGGTGATTTGGATGATGAAGCTACAATATCTTGGTATTGGGAGAGTTGAAGAGATGAAGAGATCTATTGAAATACGAACTAGATGGGTTGAGCAAGGAGGAGAGGAGGGGAAGATCAGATAAGCCTGCCTCGTAAACCTCCCCTCATGCCATCTCATATATTTAGCCTAAATGATTGCTTTATACTATTGATTCCTTGGACGCTTTCGGGCCGAGAGTCTCTATTTTCTCCGACCAAGAAGGTCGGAGGGTTGGTCGGGAGAGAATACCGATATCTACGGAGCATGTCCGTAGGATACATCATTGGATAGCCTCCTGTCATTTCAGGGTAAGGCGAGGTAAAGCTCCGGGATAGATATATATTGATCGACAGTTGTCAGCCAAGTGCCACGGAAGGTACACAGGTAATGAGTTTAATGTGTACTCCAGCACTACATGATTTGTGAGCATACTATCAATCGCCAGGAGTACTTGCACATTGGTGGTGGTCAGGCTGTAGCAAGTTATTGACTATACAAAATAGTTGATCACTGTAGGAGCACAACTTGTCAGTTTCCTTGTCCAAATAACGCCTCAATAGTTCCTAGAGCATGAGATCTTAACGACCAATATCGTTAAATGCTCCGAACAATGATAGGGTTCTAAATAGAACTGTAGACTAGTTGTGGTTATCAGAGTTTAGCGTGCCATAATCACTATTGCTGCGGGACTCTCCCCGCAGTGGCTATATAATGAACGTAAAAGAATTTGCGAGTTGCTGTGATGAGCTTATGGATGGGCCTGCTGAGCACCTTTTGGCCTTTACGCAGCTATTGACTGGCCTTCTCCTCGCTTATCAAAATGAGCTCTCCCACCAATTGAAGGGCTTTTGTTTGGCAAGCCTTATTCTGCACTCGCACCACACCACAGTTATGTTTGGATGCCTGCAATGGAAACAGAGGCTAAGGGTTTAACTTGCCAAAACATCGCTGCGGATATCGAGCCGAGATGGCAGCAGCAGTCACTGAACAAGCAGTGTAGCAGGAGTATCGAACCCCGTCGTATAAGCCGGAAGAATTACCAAATCTCAGCGACAGCTTTTGATGCTTGCTCTACACGAGGCCTAGAATGCTAGTTTTACGCGAGAATTCTTAGCGAATTCTAAAATCATGTAACCCTGATATGAAACCCTTCCATCTCATAGGACAGAGAAGAATGGGCGATTAACGACGGGACAGCTCCTTCTCAGGTATCTCATATGACCTCGGCGGTCACGACAGAATGCCGAACCAGTGAGGCCCTGCTAAGCACGTCGACATCATCCCGAATGGTAGACAACGTGGGCGGAGACCCTTGGGAGAGAAGGAAAAAGAAGAAGAAGGGAAAGCGACGGGAGAAACACACAAAAGTCGAAAAGCCGGAACTAGCGGGCGGTGAGGAGATGGAAGATGGATCTTCCGAGTGGTAATGCAGGGCTGCTCATTGGCTGATTTCGGGGCATCGGGTGAAGTCCCGTGACTGGGAGGTGAACCCGAGGTTGTCCGTCCCGTGATTCCGAAGCGTTACGAGCGAGTCGGCAGTTCGAGGCTACTTTCTTCTTGGACGACTACGACGACGACGGTCAGCTTCGTGTGCCCGATTCAGCCTCTCACCATTTTTTGAGGTTATCAATTTCATCATGCTCTCTCAGAAGGTTGCTCAGCAATCGCTGCGGCGACGTACGTACTTACTTCCATCCTCTTCAGCTAATCGCGCGACAACTGACCTCAATGTTGCAGTTGCCGTCCAGCAGCCCTACGCCCTGCGTTGGTCTTTGATGAACTCGGTCTCTCCGGCTGCTGTTGCTCTCGGAAGAGCCGTTCAGACTAGGTGAGCTACTATGCGTGATTGGGATACTCAGATGCGACTTTTCGACTTGGGAGGGGTTCGCGATATCGAATTCGACGTCATGAAGCGAATGTCGCTAAGTGGAGGCGGAACGTGGATTGCTAACGTTGTCGTGCAGACACGCTGCTACCTCCTCCAACTCCTCCGACCCTACCAAGCTCCTCGCCCAGCAGCGTCTCAACCGCCCCGTCTCTCCCCACCTTAGCATCTACCGTCCCCAGATCACATGGATCGGCAGTAGTATCCACCGTATCACCGGTATTGCGCTGTCCGGAAGTCTCTATCTCTATGCCTCTGCCTACCTCGCCTCTCCCATGCTCGGTTGGGACCTGGGCTCTGCCTCCGCTGCCGCCGCTTTCGCCGCTCTCCCTGTTGTCGCCAAGGTTGCCCTGAAGACTACCATGGCCCTGCCTTTCACCTACCACTGCATGAACGGAGTGCGCCACCTGATTTGGGATACTGGTGCTGGTCTTACCAACACCCAGGTCATCAAGTCCGGCTGGACTGTGGTTGGTCTGAGTACTCTTAGCGCTCTCATTCTTGCTTTCCTGTGAACTATTGTGACATACCTCTGATTCCTGTTGTGTTTTAAAATTGTTTTCGTGCAATATATTTTATACCAGTCAATTGACGACTGTTTTTGGATTAAACTTCACATGTTTCACCGCAAACTCTTGAGCTTCGTCTCACAGTCCTAGCCGTGGAGTTTTGTCGGCGTGTAGGGGATATTTGAAACAAAGACTAATGCCTTAGCCGTGACCCCCTACAACTGCCTGGAGGGGAAGGCGGAGCGATGGCCTTGATTCCACGGAACGTACTTGTCGATAGGTATGTCCTAAAGCCATGATTTTGGAGATCTACGCAATCTTAGGTCATGACTGGTATGGCTCTCATGCAGAAACTGGCCGTGTCATTGTCTAGTGTGCATTCTACTCCGTGAACTCCTCAAATCAAAGGACAATAATAAAAGCAATCCGCCACGCCTCTATGTCCGTTTCCCCCATGACTTTGGCTTGAGAGCCTGGCAGTTGACATGTCTCAAGGATATTCTCCCTTTCTTGCCTTCGCCTTTTCATGATGTCAAGATTATGATTCAATAGTGCACTGCAAATTTCATTCCCTTCCCATCACATTCTATTGCAGATTTGTCAGAATGTACTCAGCATCGCGGGGTAGGTTGTTGCTTATAAACTTACCTTCTCTACTAGTTTGCGCTGTCCTTTGAAAAGAACCAGTCTTGAACAATCGATGATCATGCAGGGCTCGGGGGCGGATTAGGAGGTATAGGGCCCGGCGAGGGTGGATCATGCACTGAATGGGGAATTGGTGCGACATCCTCGCAGCTACTCCAGATTGGCTGAAGGGTGTCCTCAAGTATGAAATCGAAATGGACGCGATACATGACGCAATATCTTCGTTCAGTAAACATGGAAATCAATTGACAAGACAGTGTTAGCAGCGGCTGGTCTGATAAAGGTATAAGGTGGTGCAGTTGTGTGACTACAAGTATGAAGGATTTGGTGATATGCCGCAAGGTCAATGAAGGAGCAGATGACAACGGGGTAGACTATGAGCTGTTTCTCCTGGTGTGAGTTGGCTAACATCCCGCATTAAATACTAGCCCCAGAACCCAGCACTGGGTCCGAAGGATGCCTCTGAGTTGTACACCGCCATACCAATCAACGTCCTACCAGCAGTGAGGAACCGCGTGGATATGACACTTCCGATGGTCTAACGGTGATCTTCATGGCTATCGCCGGATCTCGATGGGATTTTTGCCGTTTCTGCAAGGGCCCGACGGATGTTTGGTGGTATTTCATGTTAAACAGCGTACGCTACGTTGTATGTTTCGACCAATTGCTCCATATTTTACCTCCTTGAGCACGAACTGACGAATCTAGTACGTAGCGTGATCTTACAGACGACATGTTTCTTGCTGGTTACCCGACGGCTGGAGACTCCGGGCTGCAATCCCCGAGCGTACGGAAGACTAAAACTTCACGGTCCACTACATTCGATAACGGATGCAGGACTTCTATGCCTGGACTCTCATGATGTACTGTACCCCACTAAATTGTTAAACGGGAGCTGCCACCCGCCGATTCTCATTAGCGCGATCCTCTGTTGGGTAATCTTATCCGTCATAGTCTACAGTGTTTATTCATTGCCGCTCTGATTCCAGGTACCTTGGGAGATCACGGATGGTTGTTTGATATTGTACCGTGAAGACCAAGCAGCATTATCTGCTGATATCCGAGCCCAGTGATACTATTGTTTGGTGCAAATGAGCAAACGCAGGTGCCATCCGTCAAAGCAAATTTACTGACACACTGGACTACTCAGCTGATAAAGCCAGTGTACTGAGAACGAACAGGACCTAAGTGCCGACATCGTGCAGATTACATGTTTCGCCTGCCCCTCGATCATTCCTACTTTGCCCTCGTTCCCCATTAGCCATTCTGGGTATTCCTAGCCAATCCATCCTGAACGATAGCCGGGGCTGGCGAGCTCAAAAGATCCTTAAACGAGCGGTCAACAAATGAAATGGAGTGGTAGCCAGCAAAGATACGGAAGAGTCCAGGTTATGGAAGTGGAATACAAGGCACACTGCAGTAAGCACGTGGACTAATTTCTGAGCCTTGTGCCACTCCGAGAATGTTGAAGATTCAGGAAAGCGGGGGAGCAGCCCTGTTTGTTACAGGGACTGCATTGGACTGCCTCCCCGCGGCAAGCAGTGCGTCGAATCGGATGCGCAATGTATTTCTGCCGACGACCGCAAAGCGACGCACTGAGGCACAGTGCATTGCCTTAGTAACTGGTGTCTTGCCGCAATTGACACGTACTATCCTTGCACAATGCCACTCTAGACACAATAGAAGGCTTGTGGTTAAACGCAGCAACAGGCTAGATCCCTCAAAAGAGTGAGCATAAGGGTCTGAACCACCTTATTCGGAAAGAAAGATTCGAGAGCAAAGGGTCCCTGAACCCCATTTCGCATGAAAAAAAGAATTGCTGTGTTTGTTCTAATTCCAGCCCTAATCCCATGCGAAGACCACAGGATAAGGCATGGATGTCAGACAGTAGGTACATGGCCGGCTTGCGATGACCCTCATTACCAGTTCCAGAGGTGTGATCCGTACCTCAGTCTTATGCCATCTTATATTCACATGCCACTATGGTACTGAAGCAATATGAGATGGTCACCCTCTGTCCTGAATTCGCCAATACAGTCTCATACTTCAACACTGCGGTGGCGACTGGGCTCATGGAACAACTGCCGAATGAAGCATGAGCTGATTCCACGCTCAGACATACCACACTTTTGAGCGACATGATGCACACAATAATCGGGGAATGGCGGGACACGAGTGCTACAACAATTGCACATAAGTACCATCGGCCGGGTCTCCAGTGCTTGCATGTCATACATGCTGACAAGGATATGAAGGGAAACTAGTTGCCGCTCAACTTTGCGGTGTAGAATTCCGCGCCGCAGGTTATGGCCAGGTACCTACAGATCAGCGGCTCCTTTCTGAATAGAAGCATTATGGAAACTGTTAGTCATTCAGTACTTTTCTGGCTGGTTCCCGCGAGCTGTACAACGGGAGCCCAGACGGCAAATATGCTTTAGGCTGGCGCGCTTCCCGTGAGGCGCGCCTTGTCCTCCAAGAGTCTTGCTCACTTGGTACTATGGTGCATCCTTGCCTTTTGCCTTACAGTGCATACTGTTGCTCCTGGGGAAGTCCATGCGGGAGTCGGGTTTGGCAGTTGGTGGCATGTATTTTTCCGTGTCTCCCCGCGACACTCGTCACCGACAACTGATAGTTGGTTTTAAAAATATATACAGACGGTAGTTGCATGGGCCTCCCGTACAACAATTAGCCTACATATTACCACCAGTTCCAAGTTTTGTGAAGCGATGTTCTTGTTCTAGATCCATACGGCTAAGGTGTTGATGGCTCGAGCGCATCCGGGTAGAATGGGGATGGGCTCCGAGTAGTAACTTGGACGTAGGCACAGGTGCCTGATCAATGAAACACAAGTAATCGTACTGACATAATCTTCATGAATCGAGATAAGAGGTTGGTTCCATAGGGTGGCTCTCCATTGTTTGAAACTACAGATTTGGCGGGCGAGCCGGAGAACTGAGCGCTATCCCGATCGGGACTAGCGCCACGTCTCCGAATTCTTCCTCCTCCAAAGGAATTATTATCATTGATGGCCGCCATCGATCGTGGAAAAAGACTCGGCCTGGCGACCTCCTCCCTCTCACCCACCACTCCGGATTCCGGCCCTTCCTCTCCCCAATGGCTTCCGTACTATCGACTCGCGCGGTCAGGACCGCTTCCTGCTCCGCATGCCGCTCCCTCGCTCGTCCCAACTCGATCGCAGCCGGTCTCCTTCCGCGGCGAGGACTCTCGACTGCCACCGAAGATGCAGCAGTCAACCATGCGGACAAGCCCCGGTGGTCGTACACGCCGCCTCGTGCCAAAGCGCCGTTCTCCTTGAGACTCAACTCCAACCGCCCCGAGTTCCCCGTGAACTCTGACCCTAAGGTTTTGGACCGGTTCTACATCCTCATGCTCGGAAACGACGGTGACAAGATGCTCTCGGAGGAGACCAAGTGGCTCGCAGTGACACATAAGAGTTTTGATCAGGGCCGGAGAGGTTTCAATGACCGTTTGGCCTTCCTGGGTATGTCAAATGTTGCTGTGCAATGAATGGTAACAGAATTGGATACTAATCCGGATGGGGTTGTACACAGGCAAGCGTATTGTTCAGCTGCAGGCTTCGTTGGCTCTGGTTCAGAGTCCTAGCAACGCTGCTAACTCTGCCACCCCCGATGCGTATGGCCGGGTCCCCTTTACTCACCCGGCTTTGGATAGCCTGGACAACCTCGACTACAACACGAAGAGCTTCCTTACGAGCAAGACGAAGCTGTCGGAATTGGCTCACAAGTATGACATGCAGAGAGTTGTGAGATGGTGCCCTCGGAAGGTGAGTCTAGGAGCCCCATGCATTGAAACGATATTTGAACGCCTTGCGCTTCTGGGCTTTTGATATCGTCTCGCCAGTCGGGTCAATTGAATCCCCTGCTAACAGCGGTGTGTTTACGTGTAGCCCAACAACCTTGAAAGCTCTGGAATGGACCTCGTCCTCGCCCACACGATGTACGCTGTGATCGGTGCCATCTCCCTGGAGAAGGGCAATGCTGTTGCGAATAAGGTGGCCCGTGAGCGCATATTAGCACCTCTGGGATTTAAGATCGCGGCTTGAGTTGGGTGATTGATTTATGGGAAATGGCCGCAGGTGCATTTTCAAGGCGTTACTTCCTTTTCTCTTTTCCCCTTCCCCTTGATTTCTTTGTGCCCTGGATGTTCTGTGTATGTGTTGGGGCTTTTCTTCATCCGCCATATATTATGTATTTTTATCTACGACTTGTCTTATATAGTGACTGCAAATACCACCGGAAGTTCTGTCTTCTCTCTTACATCTACTACACTGGTATATGGGATCTTGAGGATTCGGTTCACATGGCAAGCCATTATTATGTTTTCTAACAAACAAATCAAGTAGATATCCAAAAGTATGTACGGTTCCTCTGACACCGCCCGGGTAACAGTAAGCAAAATACCCGGCCAGCTCTTATGGAACCCTCGAATACACGATGCCTAGTCTTCGCACCTTTGTATCGCAAAGTCAGCAATGAAAAACCAGGAACTCCACGACAGAATGTCACGGAAGAACCCAGAAATCACAAAAAAGCAATTTGAGCTGCCTTGCACTGTCTAGGAAGGGCGTATGGTACAAAGAAAGAAAAGAAAAGAAGAGGAAGAGAATTCGCTTGCGACGGCCGAAATATATTCTGCGCGCGTGACCAGCGCTAGGCTTCATCAGGTCTAGTGGAGATCTGGACTGGCCGGATCTCTAGAATAGGTTTAGCGCCCTGATGAGAGACCCCTGAGGCATTGATACACTTAATACACTAATGTGACCAGATTATGGTAACTTACCCCGCCACAAGCTCTTTGTCTGGCGGTGTATTGTGTACGGAACAATACCACGCGGAAAGGCAGAGCATCCCCGATGGCCGCATCATCAGTTCAATTCGTTCCATTCCAGCTTCATCGCAGGCACGTCGGGCCAAGATCTCCTCCTTCTGCAGCTTCCTGTGAGTTCTCCGGCTCTGGGTTTTACAGTTTTCCCAGTTTGAAAGTGCTTCTGAGCTATCTCTAATGCACACTGTCCGCAGCTACCTCCCCGCAAGTCCAGCATGTTGAACTAGTGGTTTCGCTGGCCTCTCCCGTTGAATCTCGCCCAGGAGCCTCCCGCCCATTTAGTCCTCCAGTACCTGCCCGACTCACCTCCTCGATCCTCGCGCCGTTTAACCTCCACCTTACTTTTCCACCCACTACCTCCCTTCCAATACCCTCGCGATGGCGTCGGCCATCTTCTTCCTCGATCTCAAGGGCAAGGTATGAAACCCTGTGGAAGGTTGCGCTGTCACGAACAATTCCGCCGTGATCCCCTGGAACCTGACCGTTTATTTAGACCCTTCTAGCCCGAAACTACCGCGGAGACATCCCCATGTCCGCCGTCGAGAAATTCCCCATCCTCCTCAGTGACGCCGAAGAAGAGAGCTCCGCCGTGGCTCCGTGCTTTTCCCACGAAGGAATTAACGTACGTATTTGTGTCTCCGACTTGTGGCTGCGGCGGCGCACCTGCATGTACCCCCCGCCGTTCCCCGCAACCCGCTGTGTCTACCATCTCCCACATCAGCCCTGCGCGCATCCTCAGAAAGGAACGCAGAATCATGGAGGTCAATTGCTGAGAATATAACCTTGTCTAGTACCTTTACATCCGTCACAGCAACCTTTACATTCTTGCCCTGACTAAGAAGAACACCAATGCCACCGAGATCCTCCTTTTCCTACACAAGATCGTGGAGGTATTCACGGAATACTTCAAGGTACTGGAGGAGGAGAGTATCCGCGATAACTTTGTCATCATTTATGAGTTGCTCGATGAGATGATGGACTTTGGCTACCCGCAGACGACGGAGAGCAAGATATTGCAAGAGTAAGACGGGCCCGTCAATGCGACTATAAGCGATGGAGGATCACAGCTGACAAGTCCATGGCAGATATATCACCCAAGAATCACACAAGCTGGAGATCCAGGCCCGACCACCCATTGCTGTCACCAATGCCGTGTCATGGCGAAGTGAGGGTATCCGGTACCGCAAGAACGAAGTCTTCCTTGATGTTGTGGAGTCCCTTAACCTCCTCGTGTCCGCGTCTGGTAACGTGTTGCGATCGGAGATTCTCGGAGCTATCAAGATGAAGTGTTATCTGAGTGGTATGCCGGAACTTCGTCTGGGTTTGAACGACAAGGTCATGTTCGAGACCACGGGTCGCGCAACGAGAGGAAAGGCCGTCGAGATGGAGGACGTCAAGTTCCACCAGTGTGTCCGTCTTTCTCGGTTCGAGAATGACCGCACCATCAGCTTCATCCCCCCGGATGGCGAATTCGAGCTGATGAGCTACCGGTTGAACACCCAAGTCAAGCCTCTGATTTGGGTGGAATGTCTGGTGGAATCGCACTCTGGATCACGCATGGAGTACATGTTGAAGGTACGGCCAACAGCCCGCCTTTACTACTCAAGAGGACAAAACGACCAAGCTAACACCATCTCTCCCGAACAGGCCAAGGCCCAATTCAAGCGCCGCAGCACTGCCAACAACGTAGAAATTCTCGTCCCAGTCCCGGAAGACGCCGACTCACCCCGTTTCCGCACCAACATCGGAACCGTGCACTACGCGCCCGAGAAGTCCGCCATCATCTGGAAGATCAAGCAGTTCGGCGGAGGCAAGGAGTTCCTCATGCGCGCAGAGCTGGGTCTGCCGTCCGTAAAGGGCGACGACGAGCACGGTGGTGGCATGACCGGTGGTTTCGGAGGTAGCATGGGTGGAACCGGGCAGGGCAAGGCAAAGCGGCCGATCAACGTCAAATTCGAAATCCCTTACTTCACTACTAGCGGTATCCAAGTCCGGTACTTGAAGATCACGGAACCTAAGGTATGTCCATATCCCATGTCAACTCTCGTGACTCCCCCACCACCATCAGTCGGATTAGCAGTCACGTCACACCAGCACAATGCAATTAAATGAATGCTAACGAAGGACCCGATGAATGCAGCTACAATACCCCTCCCTCCCATGGGTGCGATATATAACACAATCAGGCGACATTGCTGTCCGCATGCCAGATGTACAATGATGTAAAGCGTTTCTTCTTTCTTTATTTCTATATCTTTTCTTCCCTAGTTTTCATTCAATAGATATACTTTCTCCCCCCCCCTCTTTTGTTTGCATCAAGCATGGATGAATCATTTATCTTTTGATGGAGTGTACTCCTTGTACAGATTGGTTCACTGGCACATGATCATCGGGCAATTTGATAGTAGTAGAAATGTTGCAAAAAGGTAGTTCTCTCTCTTGGCCTCAGGCAACGTGAACATGACATGATATACCACAAGAAACCTCGCCATTGCCTTACCGCTACGCACTTAGTGAGTACTGTTAATGTCTAGATCACAGAACTGGAACCAATTGGTTTAATGGAAGTAGTAGTAATCGGTTACTCAACACAAATGCATGACTTTCAAGTTACTGCCGTCCATATATTGTATCATTCATAGCATATCGGCATTTAATTCCGCGGTTTCACGATCATAAAAATGTATGGCACGGTCCCTTCCATCATTGTTTTCTTCCTCTTTCTTCATCGTGTCTTCTTTTTCCAACATACACACGCAATAACCATGTAATATAGGACCAATAGATATGGACTGAGAATATCTGTGAGAAATAAGTACACCAATGAGCAGGCGAGTGAGTGGAGACAAGTCATAAGGAAATGAAGACAATAACTTTTTTTACCAGCCGTGGAACATAAGGACCAGAAACATAGTCAATCGGCATGTTACAAATAGTAGTAAAAATATGGATCCAGATGAGAAGATCGATATGGTATGATATGATATGATATGACATGGAGAGTCTGAAAGTGAGAGAGAGAGAGAGAAGAAAGAACAGTATACATACATATAGAATGCCATGCATGCTAAGTAGGGTATCTTTGTCTTTTAATGAAGGAAATTTGTTTTGGTTTTGCATTACGTACTTACTCACACATTTCTTCTGCTCATAGCTTTCGTAGGTTAATATGCCGTGTAGACAACGCTGGCTAATAGGTAACTGGTTCGTTGGTTGCAGTGAAACGAGATGCTGTTTTGCGTTTCTTTTTCGTCATAAGGCGTACGGGTCCGTTTTCCCTTTCATATTTGGTGGAGTGCTTGGCCGATTTGAGGGATGGCTGGTGGCGGCCGGTCGAGGAGTCGAATCAATGGGTCCCGTTGCTGTTGTCCGGGGATTCAGCCGCAGGGAGGGGAAATCCGTCCCCGTGACCAGTTGCGGCGGCTTTGGAGAAGCCCTCTCGAGCTAGCATGGTGTTTAGGACGGCGCAATTGTAGGCTGCCTCGCCCGGCGGTACAACCAGGAAAATGTATGTATTGTCCGTGAAGCGGCCGAGGAAGACGTTGAATTGCGGAGTCTTCGTGTGCATGACGACGAACCCGGCAGATGCAGGGGTTGTGTGGGTGTTCCGCGCCGCACAGTGCTTGAAGGCTTTCATGATGTTGGAGAGTCGTTCATGGCGATCATAGATGGGGTTCAAGTCGCCTACTTCTGAGGAAACGGAAGTTACGGTGAGGAAGGTTGACCGTTCGAACAGGATGACTTCTTCGGCATCAATTCGCTTGGAGAAGGCTTGCAGGAAGCGCTCGATGACAGTCAAGTTTGGAATGAGCTTGTGGACAATGCCGGCCCACGCTTTGTAGAGCGATTGATCCCAAATACTACTGCCAAAGGTGTCGATACTGAAATGCTCCGAACGACTGCGAATTAAGGCGGACCGTTCTTCGTAGATGCGTTGGCGGTGCTCAGCCTGGATGAGATCCAGTTTATGTACAAGGCAGAACACGTAGGCGTTGGGACTGTATTCTTTCAGGGCGTTGATGATGGCGTTGTAGGTGTCAAGATCGCGCTCGACCTCGCGGGATTCAATGTCGAAGACGTAGATCAGGACCGCGACGTCGGAGAAGATGTTCCCTCGCTGAGACGCGAGATATGTTTCCATGAATGCATCCTGTCTGTTTATGGTAAAAGAGCATGTTGGGTTAGACACTGCAATGATTCGAGAAATGCCTGAGACTGCGACTTACCCTCCGCAATCCCAGAGGTTCAGCGTGAGGTTTCCCATGAACTTGACATGGCTGTGCTCGACATCAATGGTAGCACCCAGGCGTCGGACATCTTTCGCAACATAATTGCTGAAAATGATTGAGCGCATCGACGATTTTCCAGATCCACTTTTGCCCATCAAGAGGACCTTTCTCTTCTTCTTGCGCATATCCATTGTGGCAGTTCCCCGGAGCTATCCGGTAACCGTACCCCGCACTTACGGGGCTGGTGATCGTTCAGGTGGATGGCAACCGTGAAGAGATGTGGGATTTAGCATCCGCATAAATACCTCCAGCCCATGGGATGCAGTAGGACCCTGCAAGTCGAGGGAGGTAACGATCTCCACAGGCAATGAATGGGCGAGGGTGGTTGGTTGGACAGAAGGAGCAGCAGCAGCCGGATGACCAGCCTTCCGGGCGTCATTGCATGAGCTTCTTCCCGGGATTAATAATAATCCGGCTCCATCACGTGGGGAGCGCACGGTCCACCCAGGGATGCTGACATTGAAGGTTGGATGGGATGCAGAGTGCACGGTTAGTGATGCGAGTAATGTACTGTCCCTCTCACCGAACTATCCATCTCCTTCCCCCTGCCTTGGAAATGGTCCCCGGAGGTGGCGTTCATCCACATTCCTCCTCCCATGTGCCTCCATTGTTATTAGACTTTCTGCACGGAAGGGGGGTTTGCCAATCATTAGGCTCCACTTCATCCATAGTGGATTGACTAGAACCAAAACATTATCAAACTAGCAAAGACACTATCCCCATAATAATCCCTTTTCCAAGGATAATAGTCAGGATTGAGACTGTTGGCGGAAAGACTATTCCCAGCCAGGTAAACTTTTATGATCACATTTCCATCCAAATATAGGCAAGAAGGTAAAAAGGCCCCAAGGAACTGTGTACAGGAAAGGTAGACGATCATCTCTTCACGATGATCCTACAGAAGAAATTAGGTATAAAGTCGGCCAGGTGCCGCAGCAGAGACCTTTGTACAAAACGAACAGAAAAAGCGGGAGCCACAGGCGATGGGCACGAAAGTAGTAGACGCATAAACATCCGGTCATTAAAGTCGTAAGCACGACCACCAGCCGTGGAACGGGCGTCGACTGGCGGTGTCAGGTATCCAAAACATCAACAGATATGCGATCATTAGAAAACAGTGCCATCGGAACGGATCATGATCGGAGGTTCTTTCGTGTTGGGTCTCGACACTTCGGCAATCTCACGGCCACCCTGTTACTTCTGCATCAGCAAATGTCGCCCATGTAAAACAATGAGTGCAGGGATAAATTTATCACATACCTTCCAGGATCCAGCCTCAAGCATCTGTGCAAGGGTCAACTGATCGTCTCCCGTTAATCCAAGCTGACCGTTCACTTCATCCAGTAGCTCATCCAGGAACCCAACGGTCACAGCCCGCCATTCAACGACAACGTCGTCATCCGTGTAGAAGAGTGGTACAACTTCCACGTTGGGTTGGCCCTTGATCTGCGCATTCTCCTTGTAGGCGGCAATACCCCGCTCCAAATCGTGTTCCTTCAGAGTCAACAGACCCATGTCAATCAGCAAACCACCGTTCCGGTATTCGGGTAGACCCGTGAGCAGTTCACTGCCGGCGAAATGGATCTTCATCAGCTTCGACATGGGCACCATGATAGAGTAGCACAGCCACTGCGTAAGCTTGTGGAATGGGACGATGCTCTCCCAGGGTTTCGCAGGGGGAGACTTGGGGAGATCGGAGCACGGCCAGGCGTCTCCGATAGATAGCCCATCAATCTGTGTGCGGGACGGCGGCCAGATCGGAGACAATCCATCCATAAGGACACTCCAGAGCGTGGTGATAGGCACAATTGGAACCGACGAAGCAAGTGTAGACGGATGAGAAAGGAGGTAGTCTAACGATGTTATGTTAGTCGAGAATCCCAGCGACCCTTCATCGAATAAAGCCTTACCGAGCATGTTGCCTGGCCTAGCATCAACCCCAAAGAAATCTTGGTTGTTCAGGGCCTCGGAAAGTCGGATCAGAAGACCAGCTCGGCCTTGAATTCCCGCCAAGGGGTTGGTTTCGGAGTGTTGCATTCCCTTTGCGAGTACTTCGACCGTGATCTTCTTCAGGCCTGCCCCATCCACTTGACAAGGCTCCGTCGGATCGCTGCTAAACAAACCACTCTTAAACATTTCCAAGGTTGCCACGGCCAGACCCTCGCTCCGCGAATAGATCTTGCCGGACTCCTTCGACTTGTATGACCACCTGGTACCTGCACCAGCATCGAGAAGGACGGAAACAACGAAAAGGTCGATCAATCGCCGGGTGCGCTCCTGCGCATCAATGGTACTGGGCCAGGACTGGAGCAATTGGTTAACGCGGGGTCGTCCACCCACGTCGAAGTGTTGCCAACGGCCATGAGGAGGAATGGAGTCGTAGTCCGGGCCATAATCTCTCTGCAAACGATAGCTCCAATTAGCAAACCTGAGAGGTACTAGAGTGACTGGCTAATCTTTTGGCCGAGAGGGCTGCAGCATATAGTATGTACCTTGATAATGGAGACAATGTAAGATGCAGTGGCCATGAATTTGCCCATATCCACATCGAAGTGGTTAAGTCTATTTCTCTTGGCCTTGTTTAAAACAAGGCTGCAGCGCTCGCGGACAGCATGGATACTCCGCAGGTAGGCCGCTGGATCGAGGGCCGGATCAGGTGGTTTGGCAATGGGTAGTTCTGGGATGGAGGCAGGCAGCCCACTTCCTTTATAACCGGGCGATCTCAAGGATGCATTGGAGGTACGAGCACTGTTGACGGTTACGGTCGAGTCGAAATCCTCCTTCTCGCTTTGAATCGAGTTCTTAGAGTCTTTGCGCTTAAAGAGACCCATGGTGACGGGGAGGGGTCAATAGTAGAGACGGAGGGTGAAACACAACAAACGCTCCCTAGCACTCAGGGGGAAGAAAGAACACTTGTTCGTGCCAGGGGATTGACAGTGAGGTGGAACAATCGAGGAGGGAAGGGAAGGGAAAAAGAGAAAGACAGATGAGAGGCCCTGGTGCCAGAAGAAAGCAGACCGGAAAAATGGACACCAGAGGGGAAAAGGTACATAAAAGGATGGTGATCTGCGGCAGTTGCGGGAGACTCGAAGAAGAAAAAGAAGAGAAGAGGCCCTGGTGGGTGGTGACTTTCGGTTTTGACTCTTTAGTCTGACTCTTCTCTCTTTTTTCTAATTTTCTGTTTGTTATTATTTTTATTTTTTTTTCTACCTTCTGTAATTTTTGGGGCCTTTTCAATTCTTTTGGGCTTAAAACTTTTTTTTTCTTTACAGTATGGAGGGACAAATAATACTAATAATAAGGACGAGAAATAATAATAACAGGAATAATACGGGGCGGGGCGGCCGAGTGAGCTTAGGAGGAGTTAGGAAAGGTTAGGAGTTAGTAGCCCAACTAGCAAGACATCATTGGAGCGAAAAGGAGTGGTCCGTAGCCACTGGATTTTCACGGAGCATCAGCATACACCCAGTGAACTAGTCGAGCCCTCGGAGTCGGGAGGTGGAGAGCTTGAGGGGGGCAGAGGTCTTGTCGGAAAGGCTCCAGTTCGATGTTAAAAAGGGTGCATGGCGGGTTGGCCGATTTAGCGTTCTGATAGGAACCGATTCGTACCATTGTTTACCGTTCCCACGGTCGTGAACACTACTGGAAATGTAGTCGGTTGAAAAGAACTTAACTTTCCACCAGTACCTGGTATTTACTGGGTAGTAAAGTAAGTAAGTAGTCCCTGTCAGGTACAAAGTAACAGGAGACAGAAGAACGACATGGGGCCAATAGTAAACATGTATAACTGACAGCATATTGGTCTAAAGCAAATGATTCCAAAAAAAGGTACAGATAGGCTACAGAATTCGACCATCCCATGCCCAGGTATTTAGTAGTTAGTATCTAAGGGCAGTCCGTCCGTCCCTTAGGGAGAAGGGCCAAACTCAGGGCCAAGGGACCAAGACTACCGCGGAGTATTCAGTCCGCGGCGCAATCAACCCGACGCCAGTGATGAGGTCAGAGAATATCAGACCAGTTGGAAGAATGGAAGAAAGATACATCTAACTAGTCAATGTCTGATGTGCCCTAAGTATGTAGGTGCATGATGGTGCATGCATGATAAACCCAACCCGACCCATCCATACGCGCGCATTACCATACGTACCGCACGGTACCAGACCGGTACCTGGTCCCGGTGATGGTGGGGGAGGGAGCCCATAACTGGCCCCGTGTCTGGTAAAGTGCAAATTTCCCAGAATGGAGCAGTTTCCAACGGGTCTTGGACGACGACTACTTTAGCACCTCCCCCTAAACTCATCACCCATCAACTTCCTCCTCGGTGCTACGGCCGACCAAGGGATGCTGTGTCCAGATCGATGGAACCAATGGAAAACTAGGTTAAATTAGCGAGGAGCAAAAAAGAAAAAGAGGAGTACAGGGGAGCACAGACAAGCCTGCGCACAAGGCTATACGTACCAGGTTGATTTGCTTTCCCCCTCTCCTCGCCCCGACACGACGGATCTAGCAAGCTATTAGTCACCCTGCGCCTCCAGCACTCCATCGAATCGGGACATGTCCCTGCCATGGAACCATGGCTCCTTCACCTGTAGTCCAAAGATAGAGGGGAAGAGAAACCAAGATATGACTCGAATCAATGCTAATGAAGGCGCCAGGTAGATAGATAGGATATGCCCCATCCACATTTGTGAATTATTGACCGAGCGCCAACCCCCCCTCCCCTTGGCAACCTAGGTCAGTAGCGGGTATCAGTCAAGCTCTCCACCTTCTTCAATGTCCACTCCTAGCTAGCTATCTTCTATCGAAGTGCACTGATACTCGGCACAATCGTGGTAATGGTGTGCAGGGCCAATAGTCACTGCCCAGGCGCAATGTTGGCTGCTATAGTGCGATGCTCCCGCTTATCTGGGGAATATCTCCGATCTGATGGCGTGTGACTCGTGATTTCTTTTTTACTTCAGGGGTGGTGAGCTTATGCCGCGTCTATCTAGCTACTATCGCCCCATATTGATTATAGCCGCGGCATAGTCTACCTTATACGTACATGTCGATGTTTCACTTCAGGAGGAACTAGTCTTGCTGCAGCCTTGCCTCCATATCGTTCTACTTTGCTAACGCAATCCTGATCCACAGGCGGTGGCAAATTCGTAGAGAGACGGAGAGGCGATTGAAACTAGAGTGTAGATAGTCTTCACATTGTCAATTGCCCTTGTTAATTGCTATATTTGGCTTCTTGTTCGATGCCACGTATAGGTGCTAAGTATGGAAAGTGTTAGTAAAGTATAGTCAGGCTACTTACTGCTGCGCCACAACAGTGGAATAGGGTGTCGTGAAGCATATAGTTTGTATAATAAATGAGATGTACAAGGTAGTGGTCAATGACAGTGTGACTGTTTCTGTCAGATAACCGTCTTGCGCCTTTTCCAACAGATGTAATAGTCAGACTGTAGCTGGGGCGTTATGACTGTTGGTGACCCTATAGTGCACAACTGGAGAACTGAAGATCCCAACACGAGCCGAAGGCCGATCATGCTTCAGGTAGAAAATCACCTAATAGTGCCAATCGCGCTGCGGTTGACAAGATTTTGTCTCGGCACCGACTACCACCCACAACATCCGGCATTCTCAATTGTACAAGAATAGAGCAGAGCCAGCAGTATGCGAAGAATTGGCCCTTTGTGAGATCGGCAACCCTATTTCCATCAAGTGTGCGACTCCCGAAAGGAGGGGAAGTTGCCGATACGCGCATTTATGGTTCAAGTGGACCTTGGTTTGAATCGTACGCGGGCACGCAACTATTGCCGTGTCGATCTCAATCCGGCAGGATCGTCCACACCAGAATATTCGAACTAGTAGCGAATAAGTTGACGGGAAATAATTTCTAGTTCCTCTGAAGCATGTCGGGTACAGAATGTAATATTAGTAGGGTTGGAGACTATCGCAAAAGGGTACCATGGCCAGGAAGTGCCGCAGGTCTGCGATACGTTTCATAAAGTGTAAAAATACTAAACCTCCAGGTCGTTCGTAACAGATTGGTTTTACCGACACGGCGTTTTCACATGGGTCACGTCCGATGAGGTTTGTAGCCCAATACCTATAGGTTGCTTTTTTATAGCTACCCGCATGTCATCTTTGCTTTTGTAAAACACATTGGTCGGATGCGAGGGCGCTAGGGCGGGATAATGATTCTTGAGCTTCGCGCTCGTGTTGAACCCACTTTCCGACAACCCTAATGAAATTGTGCAGAGCGGGATGATGATGATTGATAGCAGTAGGTAGTAATCCGATGATGGAGAAGACTGACTGGGCTCGGATGCCTTACACAGTCGATGGACACCCTACAGAACAGGAAGCAGCAGCCGGTTTGAATACCTTCTCAGATCTATGGAGCTTTTCAGAAAGCCAAGTGAAACATTCCTATGAGACATGGACTGGGCCTAACTTACAAACATCATCTACATGCTACTACTATTTAGAATACAGTAGTCCTACCGTCTAGAAACCTCCTTTGACAGCTCTTGGGTGTGTGCTGGATATAGGCATAAATTTGTCGATCATGCCCATGGTGTCGTGTGAGAAAAATGAATAGTATTGGACTGCAAGTGTTAATGTCCCAGGATCCTCACATATTCTTTCGAGTCGATCTTTTATCGTACTCTCTCGTGAAGAAGTAGCAGGGCGGAGATGTGGCTCACACCACCATTTGTAATTTGAGTTCAGCCGGAAGAATCCTTTTAAAGTTCGGCTTCTTGCCCCTCCAAAAGCCTCCGTATCCCCGGGTGTCGCGGTCATTAAGTAGAGGATGTTGTCAAGAGCGACCGTGTCTGGCTTGAGTAAGATTGCCCTTATACTAAGGTATGGTATATACCGTGGTGTCATTTAAAATTACTGTTACTGTTACCGTTTCAGACGGCAAAGAACAGCAGCTGGCGACTGGCACATGTACTGGGGTTCTTTGGTTGATGAACTCTGCAGCTAGGCGAACCCCAGAGTAGTCGAAGCCTTGTAGGTATATTACCTGATCTTATGACTGTCCCATTCAGGTCATTGTGGCTCTTACAGGCCTTGCTATTGATAATGAATATTACATTTCACGGTTGGAGTGGATCCAGAGCAGAGTAGAGTTACTTATCGCGAGACCTGCATGTGTCGTTCAGGAAAAAAATGGATGCCAACTTAGGATACAGTAAGTGGGAAGTGTCGCCAAACTTTGGGGTTCCTCCGATATAGGCAAGGTGTGCTTACTAGCCATAGGCATTTTCAGAGTACTGCTCGGTACTGGAAAATAATATCGTATGATACTGATAGTGCTAATTGGAGAAGCTTGTGTGTATTTGGGAAGATCATATCCGAACGACTCCGCGCACCCTGTACTTTTGGGAGGATAGGAAAGAAAACCCTTGTATTAGTCGATATGCACAGTTGCTGCAAGCCCCTCCCACCTTCCCCTCCAAAAATGACAAATGTCAATGCACTGGCGTACCCGCTAACGCGGAAAACACGGCCCTGGCCATACTGCTGGGTCGCCCGGTTTTCAGGTTTAACGTTCCGGGTATTTTAATTTCGCGGCGTAATCGAGGCATTGACAACATGGTCATTGTGATATAACCACATCTGAAGAGAGCAAGAAATCACTCATCCATCGCGAGTGTTTAACTTCGTCAGGAGACAGAAAGACTCGGAGTAGTCCGAGCTCTTACAATTGGGTCCGGAGAGGTCCATTAAATTGGCCCGTAATCTCAACGGCGGCGGCTACTGGTAAGAGACCCGATGCTAGTTGAAGCGACTGACATGACTCCTTAGTGCGACTAATCTTGTCATCTTTGCCTACGGACTACCCGCCCTACCAGTACCGCACCATTCATTTCCCCCGAATTTCCGCCACCAACATTAACATCCAGCGGAGATTCCGTGTGGCCCCTCTTGCGTTTACGTGAGTGCGTTGCTCTCAATGAACAACAGCTGTTGGTTAGTATCACTACTTGCAACATTCGTTATGGTCGTCGATTAGTCTTCCCAGACATTCCTGGAACATATTACCGGAGGGGATTATGTCCCTCAAGGTCATGTTGTGCGAGACCACTACTATACCCGAGTGATGGCTGACTCCAATTCAGACAATAAGACCACCTGTCTTTCCTTCCTGTCAGACATAATGATCGCCTGTTCCGTCCTGACCACCCCGCTTAGTCGGTATTGGAATAATTCCCGATGCTCCCTTGACGCTATCGTGCATCCCTGTCAGGCCCCCGCTGTCATCCACAACGATTGGTAGTGAAAATTGGATTTCATCCCGTCGGGGATTCCTAGACGCTTGTTGAGTGCTGACATGGCTGGTTGCCGTAAAGTAACTAATTGTTTCGCCAATTGGTGAACACCGTGGCTGCCCTGATCCCACTACTGTAGGAACCCTTTCGATATCACCCGCGAAAGTTTTTCTTGTTTACAAAGATAAAGGCTCTGTCAAGGACCTGTTTTCCGGTGCGGGGCCTAGGATGAACTTGGTCTGTTTACGGAGTACACCATTCCCTGGAAGTAGCAACTAATTATCATGAAACTGCTTTTCAGATTATCAGGCCCATCATCCTTCGGAGTTTCCTTACTCCCATCTAGCTACCATTCTTGAGCCTCGATTCTCCGTACCGCTCGCTTAGCACTGAGAAGTCTCGCCTTTCAATTTCGTCGTTGGCAGCCCCCCCGAAGAGCCACCGGGCCCCATTCTCCCAGAGCGCCCGGTCCAGTCACTACCATGGACAAACCTCGGAAGCCTAAAAACTTCCTTTGCGGTTAGTGGTCGCTACACAGTAATCACTGGCCATCGTGTCCACATCCCCATAGAGAATTGCCGCGTATCCAGTATGGATCCGTGTGCAAAGGTGACTGGCATTGGTGCCCACAGGAGCCAGCCGATCTACAGCCTGTAGACGGGGCGTCAAGAGAAGCGAGGAGGCAGAGGCAAAAGTAATGACTAGCTAGCAAGAGACTCGAGCTTGAAAGCTAAATCGTCGAATTCACCCACTGTAATTCATCTGCCTTGAGCATTAAGACCACACCACATTGCTTGGCTGGAATAGCACTGTGAGACATCCGTAGTGCCTTGTCTTCAAGGACTGGTGTGCCACTCAATCTTCAAAAGTACTAGTCTAGTGCTCACAGGCCAGCTTGGAGATGCGCATCGTCCTAAACCTGCGGACTCAAGTCCAAAAGTCCCATTCGGCCGCCGAGGTCTGGGATGATAGTAATCACATCAGCTTAACAGTCTAGATTTGGGTCCACTGTGCGGTGGATAACTGAACCCGACCCAGATACTATCTACGTTGTACTAAGTTTTGTTAGGCTGCCAGGCAAGGCCAAAAGGACAGGTTCCGGTCATTTTGTCGTCCGAAAGGATGACTCAGCTCCAGGGGGCTGGGTGCACGTGCCTTACTCCACTCAGCCTCTCACGTGCTGAAATGCACCGCCACATCTTATGCCCCATCGGCAGTCCTCAGCCACCGCGACGGTCGCGGCCCTCCATCTTTAGGGGAACAGTAGTGCCGACTGATGAAACAACAGTTGGCGGGCTCATCAATTCCCCTTGGACTTTTGCTAGTTGGCAGAATGATTCTTTGAAGGGCATCTCCTCATACTGCAACCAAGCCGCATCTTCTGTGAATTCAATCCTCAATCTCCCTACTGGATCCACTCACTCCGCTGCCCGGTGACCGTTGATGGTGAGCTAATCTAGATCATGGCATCCTCACATCCTCCGCATACGGCTTCAATCCTAATACGATCCTTCCAGACCATACCCCACTAATAAATTTCACACCACTATAATCACAATGGACGACCTAAACGGTCTGAGCTGGACCTCCAGCTCATCGAATGATACTCGCAAACCCCCGCCGATGAACACAGGCCTATTATTCCCGACCGTTAGGCAGAGTGATACTTCTGGCCGTTCCACGCCCCTCTCTGGCTCCTCTGGCCCATCCAATGCTCCCTCAAAGTCCGCAACGCCGGACAAGGACAGCTTTGCAAACCTTGTCTCCTTCAATTCATCCAATGCCAACAAGAACCTTACATTACTCGAGCAGCAGAAGAAGCTAGAGCAGGAGAGAGCTAGGAAGGAGGCGGAGAACAGATCGCGTTTCGAATCTCAATATGGAGGGCAAAACACTCATTTCTGGGATAGCCTAGAAAAAGGCAGGAGTAATAACGGGCTTCCCACTTCTGGTACTCCTGCTCAGCAGAGTGTCACATCGACCGACGAGGACGACCTCCTGGCCGCCTTCTGTGCGTCTGCGCCAGTAGACGCATCGACGAACTTTCCGGTGCCTAGCCCCAGTCCTTCGCCGCAACAATTAAGCTCGGTGCAGGCAACACCAAGCAATGCGGGTCTGCCGCAGCAAACCGACCCGATGTCTTTTCCTGATGACGATGATCCCTTCGGCCTTAACCAGCTGAAGTCCAAGCCCGCGCAACCTCCACTGCCCGCGCAGGCTGATGATGACGATGACTTTCTTGGCTTGCTGGGCAAGCCTGTATCTGAAATCCCCCGACCAGAGCCTCCTGCTGCGAAATCACCTACCCCCGTTGAAAGAGAAAACAACTCGCCGCCTTCTAGGCCGTCTAATGGAGTGGATCGGGCAATTGCAGAGCTTGTTGATATGGGCTTCCCTGCAGACAAATCCAGTCAGGCTTTACGAATGACACAATCCGGCACTGATGTCCAGGCTGCTGTTAGCTTACTTCTCACCCAAGCGCATGAAGAATCACGCCAAAAGTCGAAAAATCGACCAACTCCGGATGAACGGTTCACCGAGCAACCGAGCAGAAGTCGCGATCGCAGTGAAAGGTCTGGGCGTGACGTACCTTCATGGATGCAGCAGGGGCGGTCACGCAGCCGCAGCAATAATCGAACCTCTTCGCCGGCAGAGAAGGATCCGTCACAGCTTGCGGCGACATTTGGAAACAACCTGCTCAAGACAGCGAACTCTCTGTGGAAGACTGGCAGCAAGAAAATGCAGCAAGTGGTACAGGAGCTCAATGCTGATCACGATTCAAACCAACCTCGCTGGTTGAGAGATGCCGCTTCGCATGAAGAGCCGCCGTCCCGTGATCGTTCTCACGTTGCTAGTCAGCCCCAAGCCCGACCTGAATTAATGACAGACGAGGCGCTCCTATTAGAGTCAGGCGGTCCTCCTCGTCCGTCTCGCAATGCTATGCGGTCCGCCGACGGGCCTTCATCTCGTCCAAGCAGCAATGGTGCTAGACACCAGCCGTCTCCCGCTAGCGAGCGGCGTATGCAACAACCAGCCTTTATGCAACAGCAGCCAAGAGCAGAGACTAGAGACCCTAGATCCCGGTTAACGAAAACAGCTTCGGAGGAGCAGTCAGCGCAAGCATATGTCAGTCCTGCGCGAAGAAAACGCCCCGTTGCCCCATCGCCTGCCGCGGAACCTAATGTCGACTTGTTTGAGAATTCTGCGCCAGCGCCTGTCCAGCGGCCGAAGCCCTCACCTGCACCAGCACAACCACCAAGGAGACCAACACCATCCACCACTTTACCTTCAAGGTCCAAGGCTCCGCCCCGTGCTGTACCGCCAGTCGCTCAAGATGTCCTCTCCTCTTTGCATCGGCAGCGTGAACTAGCATCCGAGGCCTACAAGAGGGGCGACTACGCCGCTGCACACGAGGCTTTTACAGCGGCGCTCACACCGCTGCCAAACAAGCACCCTATCACGATCATTATTCGCAGCAATCGCGCCATGACTGCTCTGAAAGTTGGCGATCCCAAGGTGGCAATTAGCGATGCCGACACTATGCTGGAGGTCATCGGTCCTTCGAAGGGAGAAGGCGAGAGCATCGACCTCCTCAATGGAGAGCCCACTAAGCCAATGAAGGATTTCTTCGGCAAGGCATTGATGCGCAAGGCCGAAGCCCTGGAGCAATTGGAGCGATGGGCGGACGCCGCTCAGGCGTGGAAGTTGGCTGTGGAGAATGGCCATGGTGGCAGCACTAGTATCCAGGGCCGCAATCGATGCGAGAAAGCGGCTGGCATCAACAAACCCGCCCCGAAACCAGCAGCCCCTGCAAGACGTCCTCCTGCCCCCGCCCCGAAGAAGGCCTCTGCTCTAGGTGACATTCAGGGCTCTTCATCTGGCACTTCTTTCGAGGCGGTCAATCGCCTGCGGGAGGCCAACCAAGCAGCAGAGCGTGCAGATGAAGAGAAGTTCGCGCTCTCCGAAAGTGTAGATGCACGATTGGCAGCGTGGAAGAATGGCAAACAAGACAACCTGCGAGCCCTGTTGGGCAGCTTGGATACCGTCCTCTGGCCGGAAGCTGGTTGGAAAAAGGTCAACATGTCCGAACTGATCATCCCCAACAAGGTGAAGATTCAGTACATGAAGGGAATATCCAAGGTACACCCGGACAAGGTATGCATTATTGCCCTCCATCACCAAGATATATAAGAGGCTTGACTGTCTAACCCATCATCAACCAGATCCCCACAAACGCCACCACCGAGCAACGCATGATCGCCGGTGCCGTATTCGGCGCTCTAAACGATGCATGGGACAAGTTCAAGAAGGAAAACAACCTTTAGAGACTTCCATGATCCATCCCTACTCTCTTCCTTCGACTCCGTTTTCGATTATCATTGCCACGTCGTTTTGCTACGCCACCCTAACTCGCCATTCTACTCAAATCTTCATCTTTGCGACCTTCTGACCCATGCATGCATCCTTGGCGTGGCTTTTTTCATTCCACAACCCATTCTGCTTATGAGGTCATCATCTATGCTTTTGCACGTGCATTCGTCATATTTTCGATCTTCTTGCGCACATACTATTTTTGTACATATATAGACTTATACCTACCTACCTACCTACCATTTCTGCCTCCCTGACAGTTACTGCCAATGAAAAGAGAATCAATCGACGCATACCCCTTCTATCTTGGATACATCCTATATGTTAACACATTGGCCGAACAATTCGTAGTTGATTGCCGTCATGTTGTGACCACCCATCGATACGAGACAATTGAGCACCCCGGTACTATTGGACCGTCCAATTTCTTATATTTCTATTTCATGCAATTGGTAGAGAAGGTAAGAAGTAGTGTACAAAGTGATGTAGTATTTATCCTGAACACGCTAAGTAATACTTTTATCTAATCTAAGTCAAATTACAACAAGATAGGTAGGTAGGTGAGGCTATTCAGCCTGCTCAGGGGCAGCTGATTGCTCTTGTGCTACCGGTGCTGTCGATTCCCCTTGCTGCTGTTGTTGCTGTTGCTTCTTTTGCTCCTCTTCTTCCCGCTCCTTCCGCTCTCTCTTGAGCTGCTTCCTCCCCTTAGGCTTCTCCGGTTGAGTCAAGTCGACTTGATGCGAAGGCCATTTCTCGCGGCATTTCTGCTCGTCTTCCTCGGTCCAGTCACGCGGGAGAACAGCGAATACCAGGTAGGATGTGTGCGTTTTCAGGTCCTGCTCGGAGCGGTGGACCAAGCGGCCTTGCTTGTAAGGTGGAATAGTCGAGGTGGGTTGTTGAGCGGGGGTTTCCTCTTCTTCGGTCTTAGCTTCTTGCTCTTTCTTGATCTCGGGCTTGGCCGCAGGCGTGCTGTTCTCCTCGTCGTCTAGCTGGTGCATCATCTCACGATATTTCCGGGAATGTTCTTCGACTTGGCGCATCTTGGTGACTGCCTCGTCGACGTCCTTCGGGAAGACTACTGCGCCGCGGACGCGCTCGTACTCCAGACCAGTCTTTTCCCGCTTCACTTCGATGCGGTGGTGGTTTACCTCCACCATGGATATGGAGAGCCAGGAGAGCTGACGGAGGGTGCTGATGGTTCGTTGGACTTGCTCTAGGCAGGGCGAGAATGTGCAGAGGTACACGGGGGAGTCGGGGTCGAGCGGAGATTCTCCACCGTCGGCAGGGTGGCGGACCAGATGCTTCAGCGCAAGCCAGGGAGCAGGCAGGTCCAGGAAGATAGCGTTGGCCTTGGGAGACTTGCCGGTCTTGGGATCGCCGAGCAGGAAACCGTCCTTATAGACATCGCGATGCGTCACTTCGACTAGTCCATCCAGACCGTGTTCGTGTAGCTCCTGGCGCACTTTCTCTGCGCGCTGCTCGTGGTACTCGAAACTGCAGACCTTGCCGAGTCTTCTCTTCTTCGTCGCGGGCGAGTCGTCGGAGGGGTATCCGTTGAAGGCCGCTCGAACAGCCGCGTGCGTGAAAGATCCACTGCCTGCTCCAGCTTCGATGACGGTGCTTCCGGGGCGAGCGCGCAGACGGTGGAGGATGTAGCTGTAGTCCGGGGTGTAGACGACCTGAGTGCGATGGGGAAGAGATGTCGTCCATAGTTCGGGGGTGGGGTAGACCAGGTGGAGGAAACCACTGGATGCAGCGACGGCAGCCTTGGGAGACGATGTATTATCGCCCTCGACAGGAGTGGCCGAGTCTATCTCGTCTACTTTCCGCTTGAGCTTTTGGTTCTTCTTCTGGGGTCCGCGGCCTCGTCGCGATCCCGTGTCGACTTTGGAGGCGCCGATTTGCGCTCCCCATGGTTGGTCAACGAGGGTGGTGTGGGGGAAGGAGCCGAATCGCGTGGTCTCTACCTTGCCCTCTTTGTAGCCAGCGTCTTGGTCATCTCGAAGGCGGAGGACAGTCGGAATGGCCTGGTCGCGACGGAGGTGAAGGAGGGCGAGCTGATCGAGGCGCGAATGGGAGCCGGGGGTAAGGAATGGCGACGACATGGTTGTGTATGTAATCTGCTGTTTCGGGCTATGAAATGAGCGACGCGAGCCAATTCCCCGCGCAAAAGCAAAGCTGCAGCATTCGACTTGAAGCTTTCAATGCGGCGTCACTTTCCTCTTCCATGCAGAACATCCTCTGCGCTAGACCTATCTTGGCACATGGGTAGGGCATAGGGCTACTGGCACGTGCTATTGATTTGGGGTTAGTTCCCTGCTTCTGATTGGCCAGTTTGATGAGTATCAAGATAACGGGCGGCAGTATTGAAATAGACTCTCATACAGAGTACTAATGCTCCGATTTACTCTAGAGATCGGCCCAAATTGTTTATCAAGCCATACTTAAACTATGCTTCAGTGTCAAAATGAAGTTCAGATTGTCTCATGCCACACCCTCGCCTCTCAGCTGATGTGTGACTTGTGAATCTCCCCGTGATCACATGCATGTAGCCGGTCAGCAATGGAGGCGACAAAGAAGTCACCGGTACCTGGCAAAGAAGTACAACTTTCCTTACATTTTACATGAAGACTGAAGAGATCACCAACTATCCAGCAGTTGGTTATTCGATCTTCTTTCTTTGCTGTGCTGCCCATCAAACACTTCCCCTTCCTACATTGTCCAAACGCAGATACCCTCAGGCTTGAACCTCGGCAACTCTGGCTTCCCCACAGCAGCGGCCGCGGCAAACAGTTGATTACTATTTACGGGGGTTCACCTAGCCTTCCCCATATTTGGTCTCCAACTACTGTCTGTCGTCTTTAAGTAGAATTAGAGACGCATAGGATCATACACCTAAGCTTGTTTCATTCAAACCTTTTTGTCTTCTCCGTTCGCCTCCATTTGTCAACTGCCGAGAAAGTTACCGCCCCCGACCCCTAGATTCAAGGCAACGACACCATGCCTTTCAACACTGCTCTGACGAGAGCCCTGGGCATCTCAGGTATGAGGGCTTATACATTGGTCTTGACAGCCTGCTGATAATGCGCAGTCCCGGTCGTGCAGGGAGGTATGCAATGGGTGGGTTATGCAGAGCTTGCTGCTGCCGTCAGTAACGCTGGTGGACTGGGTATTGTACGTACAGTCTTGAGATAAGCCTGGGAAACAGAGGATTCAGAATGCTAACAGCTCAGCTCACGGCCCTTACTCAACCAACCCCAGAAGACCTTCGCAAAGAGATCCGAAAGTGCAAGACCATGACCAAGAAGCCCTTCGCCGTCAACATCACACTCCTCCCCGCTCTCGTTCCCCCAGACTACGGCGCCTATGCCCAGGTGGTGATCGACGAAGGCATTAAGATTGTCGAGACAGCGGGAAATAACCCAGGCCCAGTGATTGAAAAACTCAAGAAGGCCAACACCACCATTCTTCACAAATGCACGACCATCCGTCATGCCAAGTCTGCGGTGAAGCTGGGAGTCGACTTTCTGTCCATTGACGGATTCGAATGCGCCGGCCACGTCGGCGAAACCGACATCACCAACTTCATTCTTCTAAGTCGCGCGCGTCAGGAGCTCAAGACCCCTTTCATTGCATCTGGTGGGTTTGCTGACGGTCAGGGGTTGGCTGCTGCTCTGGCTCTCGGAGCTGAGGGTATCAACATGGGTACTCGGTTCATGTGTACCATCGAAGCACCCATTCACAACAACGTCAAGCAGGCAATTGTCAAGTCGGATGAGACACAGACGGCTCTGGTCATGAGACGGTGGAAGAACACCACTCGGTTGTATGGAAACAAAGTGGCCAAGGAGGCTCTGAAGGTGGAGAAAGAAAGCAAATCGGGCGAGTTCAGCGACATCGCGCCCTTCGTCAGTGGCAAACGCGGCAGAGAGGTTTTCTTGAATGGCGATATTGACTATGGAGTATGTTACTCCTATTCCGATTGGTTCTGGCTACTTGCTAACGAAAACAGGTCTGGACTGCCGGTCAAGTCATTGGTCTGATCCACGATATTCCGACTTGCGCTGAGCTTCTTCAGCGGATTGAGAAGGAAGCCGTCGAGGCGCTGGACCGCTCCAGGTCGTTGCACACGGCAACCATCCCCAGCAAGCTGTAGAGGATGTGGATGGAGTCGATACCCGGTAACATGATTGGAGCGTACACTTGTGATTTAATTACAGACTAAGCAAGGAATAGAAGTGATTGTGTAAAGGCAACGACTGTAGCGACCCGTCAAATGCATAAATAGCCATCCCTTGCGGAGATTTCCACCACCAAGGGATGAACGAGGGAAACACAAGTACTTCTGGGGAAAGAACACATGCGGAGCTGCACGATGACCAGATCATTTCTTGGTCCAAACGAGAATACTCTCGTGGCGGTTACACATGGTCATAATGACTCCCACTGGATATACTGGCGTCACAATGGATGCATCTCCCACTGCAACCTGACTTTGCCAATACTGGTCCTTACCGCCACTGAGGCTTCAGATATTGGGATCCGCATATGGCTTGCATGGAAATAGACTGCAGCAATACGAGCTTCTAAACCAGAGTTTGCAGACCATTGCCGAGCAGAGGATGCTCACAGAGGCTTCCAGAGTGCGAGAGGAACGAAGGTGTGAATGGCCATCCTTGCGTCCTAATTTTCCCTTTGGTCACTCCTTGCAGAGATGGACTATTTGCTTGTTGACTAGAACTGCCTACTGAAGTTTGCTGGCGGACAGAGTCTAATCTGGGTTCAATCTACACTTCACATCCTCTATCCCGTGGGAGATTAGGTGCGATCATCAGCATCACGCACGACCAAACTCACTTCATGTGCCCTGAACCATCACGATCCACGAACCTACCGTGAACTGCAGTGCCAGTAGCAGACCCCCGCGTCCTTAATCTCAAAGATTCAATAAAATCCCCCCGCATCAATCGCCGGGAGCAACTGTTACTATCGCCCCGACGACGAGAACAACATCACCACGGTTCACGCCGCTATAAATTGAAAACACAAGCATCATGACAAACTCAATCCTCAACTCATCCCTCATGCAGCGTTCACGCAAGATGAAGTGCCTATCTTCCATTTTCCTACCCTGCTTGCAGGCACGGAAGCTCCGCCGTCAGCGACGGCAGGATTACCATGCCTCTTGGACATGTGCAGGTATCTCAGAACTTGCGCAGCCTACTGAGCCCTTCCCGGCCTATGAGCACGAGAAGCACCACCACGAAGCAACAGAATTATCAGCTCTGCCAGACCAACCTCAAGATGCTGTCACCAAGGCCCCACAGATGACACCGTCCATCCGTCTCGTCAATTCTGCGGACTCAGAGTGCTCAACGCTGGACGACCCGGATGAGAAGCAGCCACAAGGCGTCCAAGATGATACCGTTGCGAAGCAGACCGGCACGCTCTCAGACGATGACACTGACGTCGATTCCAGCTCTGAAAAGACATCTCGAGTCATTGACATGAAGGTCGGGCCTCAGACTGAAGAACTTCTCCCTCCAAAAGCCCATCTGTCGCCTAAGAGCAAAGACGACATTGATCTCGAGCTGTCTAGCCGCCGCATTCCCCGCAGCCCAGACAAAAAGCCTCGTCCTGCCAGCATGGACGTGCCTCCTAGCGCAGCAGCCAAACTGCCAGAGATCAAGAGCCGTATCATTGAGGACATTCCCGAGGATGTTGAAGAAGAGGACAAGCAGGATGCGGACATAAACCACGCTGGGGTGACAGACGAGAAAGTAAAGACAGAGGAAGAGCATGAGACTGCCACCACCAAGCCTACCAAGCGCACCTCAACCTGGCGTCTCAGCCAGCGCAAATCGATGAACGAGCTCTTCAACCTTCTCCAATCCACCGCCGCAGCTGTCGCCGCAGCCCCCAAACTATCTAACCTCAAATTCGCCATTCCTCCCAAATCCCCTCTTCGCGCATCTCCTACGAACGAGTCACCACACCATTCATACGTCTCATCCGTCTCCTCCACGTCCATCCGCCCACCCACCCCTCCTCCCAAATCCCCTGTCCTGAAACCCAACAGCAGACCCCTCCCCGACCCAACCCAGCTCTCCTCATCCGCGCCACCCGCTTCAGGAACCAGCTTGGGGAGTCTCCGCTCAAGTCCTACAAAGAAGCAACGCCGAATGGGCACCGCTGTCTTCCCTCTCCTGCCGTGCAAATGGGCCGGTATTCACGACGGTGACTCGGAGGAGAAGCACAGCAAAAATACTAACCGCAACAGCCAGACTCTTTTTCAGTAGCGACGGAGTTAGGTGTACCGGTTCAAGGCTTGTATTTTGTTGGTGTGTATGGTCCATATCGGAGGGTTTCGTGGGTGTTTTAAGGTCTGTTTTTGATGCGGTGATTGTGACTGATTTGGCTTGGGTCGACTGTTTCTTTTGATTGGGATTACTTTTTTTCTTTCTTTTTCTTTTGTATTTTTTTTATCTTCTCTCTTTCAACCTTCTCTTTTCTTGTCTTTTTGTTTCTTTCTTATTTTGGTCGAAGATTCAGATGGTTCTATCCCGTGGGATGCCACTATCTACGCTGTCTGCAATTGAGGTAGGAGGATCCGATGGGAGTGGGTTTGTGTATCACTACTAGCCTGACCGGCCTGGTTACTTTCTCTCTTTCTTCTTACTTTCTTTCTTTGTCTCTTCTCAGGATGATACGATACGAGGAGGAATTTTCTGATAACGGTGATAATGGTGTAAGATACGCTGAATCGGTGGATGGGATGGATCATACATTACACATACATACATACAAACCCACTACATAACTAACCTATGCAGAGCATAATGATAATGTTATTGAAGAAAGATAACTATAATTTTGGATTACTGAATAGAGACAGTATTAGGTCCTGGTGCAAGTAAACACCTATTCATGTACCGCACGAGGTTCAGTCCCTCTCACGCATGTTCTATCTGCACTTGAGAGGGGAGAAAGAGACAGTAAAATAGAGAAATAATCTATTTGATTATCTATCATGTGGATGTTTTACTGGTACGTCCGATGTAATCAAGGAATCGAACCACAACCGATAGTATACACAACTGGTAGACAGAGTGAGTGTGTGAATTGTGCGTTGATAGTAGCAAAGAGAGGGAAGCCTTCCACCCACCACCTATTCAAGGGGATCACACGAGTTCATCATAGTTGTTTAGTACTCAAGCGGGCGGGATGAGATTCACGTTTGTGGCTGGAGAAACCCAGTGTCATTAGAATTACTCAGCGGTGGTCTTTTGTAACCTGGAGATATCTGCTAGTAGCCGGGTTACTACGATTTGGTTAGTATATACCAAGGAAGATTTTTGCTTCGCATTTTGCCTGGCATGTGTTCATGGAACATCGCAGGCTGCGGGTGTATAGTCCGCTGTTCGGTTACGGGGGCTTTCTTTATGGAACAAGCGATGTGACTATTGTTTTGTGGATAGATATGAAACTCAACTGATGGTCGACAGTCGCTTTCAAGATTACTAGTGGGAAGGTTTCTACAATGGTCTACAGTGGGAGCATTGGAAAGAGTATAGACAAAGTCTAATGCAATTAAGTTTCTATGCAACGAGACCAGCGCCCAAAAGCACCGGCAAATGCACGAAATACAAAACAAACTAACAGAACAGTCTTTCTCCGAGGTGCCACACGCCACCAAGTTGCTCGTACACGGTCAGTCCATGATGTTTCTCGGGCCCGAAAGCCAAGTACTAAATCCAAGGTCCGACCACAAACGATTCCGTTGAGAAGCGTAGCCAAGCCCAAGCATAAGCGCGCCCAAAAGCGGCTTAGACGAGGGAGCCGAGGGCAATGCAGGGAAGACCAAGACCGATGAGGTCGTCGTCCTGTTCCAGTTAGTTTTTGATGATGTAGACAATACTTGGAGATACTAACGGTGGTAGAGGGAGACGACTGGCAGCAAGCAATGTTCTGCTGGCACTGCTTGTTGATGATGTCCTGGACGGCGATTCCGATGATGGGGACTATGATCATTAGCTTCGGTAACCGATTGTATTGTAGTGGAAGACTTACTCTGGAGAGGGAGCTTGGAGCACTCCTGGAAGAGACCAAGACCCTCGGAGCCAGATCCAGTACCAATGAGGTTGGACAGGGTACCGGCGAGGAGACCGCTGTCAACGTTGGTGCTGTCACCAGCGTAGGTGGCCTTGTTGCAGCAGGACAGCTGAGCCTGGTCACCGCACTTGTCTTCGGCCTGCTTGACAGTCATGTCGTCGGGGACAGGGAAGCGAACGTCGCTGTTGCCCTTGTTGCCAGCACCGTTGGCGTTGCCGGGGCCGTTGTCATCAACGGAGGATGGAGAGCCACCGGGCATGGCCACGACGGTGGCAGCGAAAGCAAGAACAGCAGCAGTGATGGAGAACTTCATTGTGACGGTGGGTTTGGATTTGAACGAGAGTTGAAACTCGGAGTTGCTTGTAAAAGAACGCTTGTCTGGAAAGACTGGACTGTAAGAGAGAGAAAGAAGGCTTATCAACGAATGTGATTGATGCTGATGAAGAGAATCGGTTTCCGGGCGACTTCGAACACCCTTATATAGACTTCGGTGGAGGCCTCGAGCTCCTGGCCAAGACGCTGTAGGATGAGTGTTGTGCCTGCGGAACCCATCCATCCGCACATACACACAATCGACCTGCTTCCCCTTGTGGAATGCGAGATGCAAGGACATCCCTTCTCGTTCCTGACCTCCTATGCCCCAATAGCTGTCATCGTAGCTCAACAGAGTCGGGCTCCCTAAGCAGTTGGCATGGATCGACCCCTGGTCCAAGCCGTGCATGCCCGGCATCAATGCTGTTTCCGCATACCGTGAGATAGCATGACTGGGGTGCATTGCAGGCCAGCCAAGGTCTCATTCCTCCTCGCTTTCCCTGCAGATCCTCATGTATGCGCCTCGGGCGGCTAGCCTATTCGGCGATTCAAGCTCATGTATGTATGGCTGGGAGTTGATTCCACAGCCATACTAGGTATCCCTCGTCCAAGATTTACCTCTTTGAGGCGCCACAAAGTGCCCAGTCTCGCTTCTTCCCATATTGCTTCATCTTACTTGGCACACCTAGCCACCATGCTGTGACTAGGCCCGTGCAATGTTGTCCCACCTCACAGCTCGTGCGGTATGCAAGTGACTGCAAGAACACTCGTAAGCTCACAGAGCATATGCAATGGTATGTGCCCCTCTGCAAGGGATTCCTGACAGAAGATCTTCCTCTCAAGCCACCCCAGTTACGGGGTGTAAGTGGCAACGGAAGTTTCCTCCCCAGGACTCAGAGCCAGCAAGGGGTGTCCAATGAATCCCTGTTAATCTCCGAATTCCAATTTTGCTTCTAGACATCTTGCCTCCTTCGTAATCTGAGCAGCTGGGTCTAGTCCCTTGGAAGAGCCTACTCTAGGTTCCTAGTTCCTTGCTAGCTATTAGGAAGCCCTTGAAGTTGGTACGGTTAGTCGATGGGTCTGAAACAGGTGACGAGGACGGCATCCATCCTACGGTGAGGAGCATTGTGACACTATAGTCGGGAAGCCATTCCGGATTAACATGCATCGGAAACATAGGTATGCGGCGTTCAAGGCACTACCTTCGGGGGTATTGTGTGTTGTTTGGTGCGTAGATCATTGCGGTTGAGAGGTTGCTGGGGAAGTTGCAGGAGGAAGCTCGGATGATGCCTCTTTTCCCGGGGCACGTGGCGGCCTTGCTGCCTGGGCCGGCTCGCCAGTTTGTTTTACGTGAAGGTGCATCTCGCATTTGGTCTTTGTGTAACATCCAATATGAGCATCTGGAGCATCGGATTGTATCTACAAGGTCACTAGTAGCTTGATTACTGTGGACAGATAGCCACCTGTTCAATGCAAAAGAAGACCTGTAATCTTTGCTTGGTTAAAGACCGTAGATAGTAGCAAGTAAGCGGTCACTACACATATTGGCTAGTGCTAGTAGCACTATTAGGGCATTCCTACTCGACCGGCAATATATATATATATATACTACTTTATTTCATGCTCTCCACTACTTGTGGTAGTACTAGTATATATCAGGGTAAGTCGATCATACTGCTACTATCAATACCAGCTTTCTATTCACTGACTTCCTTTATTAGTATCTATGTGTAGTCAATATATGAGTCCATCTCTCGGTAACACATAGTTCGTACAATATGAACTGATATAAGCATGTAGACCATCCACCATGCCCTAACCTGAAGCAAACAACAACACCAACACCAGCATACAAACACCCTGATACGGCAATACTACGTGGACCCTGAACACCAAGTCTACCAGGGCAACCGACTCCAGATTCATAATTATAGAACTACATGCTCTAATCTCCACCGCATCAACAGTACCTTAATGCAGCATCGCCTCGCCCTAAGCCATTCTCTAATGCATTCCTACTTTTCGATCGTACATGCTACATACATCCATCCAAGTAATAACCTCGTGCCACGGTTCCCTGCAAGATCGCCTCAAAGCCACGCCATCATGCATTGCATCTCGCATGCACAAGATACCAGCCCCCCACATATACCAAATAAATCCCATTCCAACAAGATATTTGGAAATCTCAACCTTGACCGGGCTAAACTCAACAATCGTATTCATTCTCCTTAACAAAGCCTATTGTTAGGGAAGTTAACCTTGTAGTAAAGCTAAATCTTCCAAGGATGTCTAGCTCCCGTTCTTGGAAATAAAGCCTTGCCTTTCGCATAATTAGTCCGTGTGTATCCCTTGATTCGATCCCTACCCGGCCACCTCCCTGCTCTGATCCGGTATAGGATGTGATCGGCGCTTTGCTGGTCGGGGGTTTTCGGGTTATAGATTGCTGTGCCTGAGGTATACAGGAGACTTTAGGTGGTATAGCTTGGTAGATGTTAAGTTATATTTTCATCGTAGTGGTGGTGAATAGGTGTTATGTCCATACATATTAGTTAGTTCGAATTCATTGCGGAAGCTGTATTTACAATTGGGTTCGTGAGTTCGTTACTATTCAGGTTTGTTAATATCTTACAATAGCAGATATCAAGAAGCGGTCTATGTAGCTCAACGACTAGTATCTCCCCCATGATGATATGATAAGTGTAGGCTGTACTTTGACATACCTACCTAAGTGTCTGTAACAATGCCATTTCTACATTGCATTACTCCGGGCTTATGATCTGTATATTCATACCACTGCAGGTAGTTGCGGTTTTATGTCGAGGGTCTAGCTGGAATATACCTGTGAAGTGGTACAACATTGCGTCCTATGAATCCAAGCTATTCTATTACAGATATCACCTGCTATTCAATTAATGCAGGTAAATGGCTCCATACTTATTAGTAAGTGCTATTGGATGCTACTCAGGCTACTACTATCTTGAGGTTATTGGTGTAGTACTAGTAGTAGTGATGTGAACTCGGCATAATGCGAACTAAAAATATATTTCGCTGGCAATACCCGGTACATTGACATGAAGTAAGCCCTAGTAAGGCGCACATGGAGCTCTACTGGTTCTAGTATCTTGTTTCTCATAGCTACATTCAGTAGCTCTACTCAACAGAATATTCTAAATACTACAAGACCTCTACATATTGATAGCGACAATCAATCACACTACTTCTCAACCAAGTGAATCTACCTCCGGCCCATCCAATCACATACCGAACATCACATGATCTCAGAGAGACATCTAACCCAAATAAGGTTAGACTAACTACCTTCAGCAACTCAGCTTAGTCATACCGGCAAATCCAACCTTCCGGATTCACATCATAAACCTAGCGAATAAAGCAGTGAAAGAACCCCAAGCACCCAGAGGATCGTTGACCTCTGCGCTTCTGAAATCCAAACCCGCAAACACCGCTCAGCTAGCAAGAGCGAAATAGCTAATCGCAGGAGAGATGTCCGCGAATCCTTCGACCGACGACAGCCCATCCGCGGCGGGATCTCCGCCCCAGGTCCCGGAGACCCGAGAATCGCAGCAGCACGAGGAGAAGACCCCGACCGCGGAGGAGACAAAAACAACACCCGGCCCTGAAGCCAAGGAAAGAGAAGAAACAGAACAGAACAGCGAAAAAGAATCAGGAGAAGAATCAGAGGAGGTAGCAGCGGCATCAGAATTAGAAGCCGCACCCCCGTTACCGGACGAGGTTCCCCCGCCGCTCCCCAACGAAGCACCCCCAGGGGATAATGATAATAAAGACGACGGATGGGAACCCGTCTGGGACCCCACCGCCCAAGCCTATTACTTCTACAATCGCTTCACGGGTATCTCGCAATGGGAGAACCCCCGTGTACCGGACGCGACAGCTAAGGCGGATGACAACACCGTCGCGGAGGATGCAGACACGGCCGCCGGTCCCTCCTCCTCTGCTGCTGCGACCACCGCTGTGGTAGGTGGCTATAACCCCGCCATTCATGGTGATTACGATCCTACGGCGCCTTATGCGCAGCAGTACGAGCAGCCCAATCAGGTCGCTGCGGGGGGAGGGGCGCTGGACCCGGAACAGGCATATGAGGCGGTGGGCGCGTTCAACCGGTTTACGGGGCGGTGGCAGGCGGCGTCGCAGAATACAGAATACCACAATGATGAGAATAAGTCGCACCGACAGATGTATGCATTCTTTGATGTGGATGCGGCGGCGAATAGTCATGATGGGCGGAGTCTGCGGGCGGAACGGAGTGCGAAGAAGTTAACTAAGAAGGAGCTGAAGATGTTCAAGGAGAAGAGGAGGGAGAAAAAGGAGGAAAAGAGACGGGCGTGGTTGAGGGATTGAAGCTGCTGGTGCTGGTGCTGGTGCTGCTCGATTGAGCGAGCGCACTTCTTACTTTGCTTTTCTACTTGAGATACCTATTTCTGTTTGTTGTATGCTTACCGAGGATGCATGGCGTTGATGTATTTATGGGTGCATGATAGAGCGGAATGTATAGTATATTGCATTTACAACAGCTAACCTAGTATTGCTCCCACTGTATACTTTGTTAGTTTTTGCGATAAGAGATGGATAAAGATGGATAAAGATGGGTGAGATCCACCTGGTCACCTGACCGGGCATCATCAAAGTTCTCCGCAGACATTAGTATTGTCTCGACCACAAAAGACAGCAGCATAGACGCTTGACGATTCACGCATATCGCTGAAGGTAATACTGACCGTTCCTTCTTGTTCTCTGCGTTAGCAGTTCATTTTCTTCTATTTTTGAGCCCGTTTCGAACTTGATGGAGGGGCAATTCATGTGATGAGGGGCAATACTTTTTTTTTTTTGCAGCAGAAAGATGGAGAAGAAGAGAGCAGCGCTGTCTATACCACAAGACAGTATGCAGAATTTGAGCAGCTACAAGCGCTTCCTTCATTACAGGCTGAGACTCATTCAATCCGATCTGTTTGCCGTCTCTCCCATATACAACCAGGGAGAGTAGCTGGGACGATATCAACTGATATCAAATACCCCTCCATATCATGCATCGCACTTCTCAACACCACAAACATCCAGCAATCTCCCACATGGACCCAAAGCTAACAAAAACCAGACACTTAAGACACAAGATACCCCTTACCACAACTCCAAACCACCAAACCACATCGACATCACCACCAACAAACCCATCCAAAATGGTCACCCTAACCCCCGACACAATCGACGACCTAATCTACTCCGCGCGCGCCGGCGAACTCCAAGACCTCCAAACGGACCTAACCACCCTAGCAACCCGGACCTCCACGACGCCGGCGCACATCATCGCCGCAGCAATCGACACGGCGCCCCAGGAAGAAGGTGGAAGTGGGTCGAGTCTGTTGCATTACCCTGCCGCGAATGGAAACCTTGGTAAACATCTTCTTCCCCTTTGGAGATCTGATTGCGTCTGCGACGCAACACATACTAATATGTGTATATATATATATATAGAAATCCTCACCTACCTCCTCACCACCCTAACCACCCTCCCCAGCCTTCCAGAAATCACCAAAGTCCTTAACCACCGGAACTACTCAGGAAACACGCCTTTGCACTGGGCGGCGCTGAACACGCATCTGGAGTGCGTGAAGGCGCTGGTAGAGGCGGGCGCGGATGTCGGGGTGAAGAATGATGCGGGGCTGGATGCGGTGTTTTTGGCGGAGCGGGCGGATTGGAAGACTCAGGAGGATGGAGGGGCTGAGGAGGATGAGGAGGTTGAAGTGGAGATTGGTGGAGAGGGCGGAGAGCAGAAACAGGATGCTGGGGAGATGACGAGGGGGAGACAGGTTGTCGAGTGGTTGTTGAGTTCGGAGAAGGCGGCGGAGTCGTTGGAGAAGGCTGCTAGTAAGGATAAGGATGAGAAGAAGGGTGGGGAGGAGGAGGGGGAGAAGATGGATACGACGAATTAATTTCTGTTTACGATATATAATCATGATGATGAGGGTGGAGGAGATGTTATGGCTTTACTAAGCTTGGGTTGGTATAGACTTGCATCATACATAACATAAAAGTTCATTGCGCTCTTGGTCTTTCGTGGTCTGGTCTTTCTCTAGTTTACAAACATTGTATAAGATATGTGGAACGGGGTTAGTCTCGTCGGGCTTTAGATGACGACAAGGAGCTGGATCGTGAAGAAGATGACCCCTTCACTGCAAGAGAATCTCCCCCAATCTCCCGCACTTTCATATCCAATCCTACGCGGAACTGTCGATCCCGCCAGATCACCGTCACGCCGCCATACACTGCCCACAGCCAGATCGGAAACGCCAGCATCTCCCGGCCCAGCCAGGCCGTGAACCACGCCCGGAAGGGCCGCCGCGTTACGCCTCGGGGCGGCCGCGCGAATGATGGCGTGTCTTCGTCCAGTTCCACCGTCTTGCCGCTGTGCAGCATGATGTACACGGTCCAGTCGATGAGGATCCACGTCACTATGCTCAGGCAGAAGAAGCCCCAGAATGCAGTCCAGGTCGACAGTGCCTCTGCAATGGCATAGCCTTGGTCTCCAAGGTACTGCGCCAGAGCTGTCGTGACACCCCATGCTCCGTAGCAAGAGCACAGAATTGACTCGGTGCCTGGCTCAACCAGCGTCGCGAGGACCACGGTGAACTTGCGCACGCGTAGCCACCGCACTCGGCGAGCCACATACGCCTGCACGCTCATGTTGGCAACAGGCTGGAAGGCCAGATCTCCGAACACCAGGGCATGTTTGCCCCAGCGCTCTCCTTGCTCTTTCTCCCCGCGGACCTGTTTTCTCCAGAGCAGGTCTCCGATCAGGTGGTCTTCACAGATGTTATCGGAGAAGTAGTCGATGCCCGCGTTCCGCCGGTGGGGATCTGCCGGAGACGGCGCAGTGAGGTAGTCGAGATGCGAGCGGCGGAACATGTTCGACTTGCCCACGATGCATGGCGCGATCAAGACGGTGTTGATGGCAGTGTACATTTTCGCATGCGAGGACGACAGGAACAATTCTTCCAAGCGGCCACCACCGGTCGCCAGCATGCCAGCCCCGTGGTCCATGACCATGGCGGTCTCGCTGCTGTCGCGACTGTCATTCCGGTTGGTGTGAGCCTCCAACAGCGCTTCCTGCTCCTCCCTAAGACCAGCGGTTCCCGTCATGTCCACTGCAACTGGCAGGTGGTGCACGAACTTGTATCTCTTTGTCGAGTCGGCACCAGTCCCGCATAGCTTGTCCACCATGCGTCCACAGACACCCCTGCCGACCCACGCGTTGCAGTCGATAATCCAGACAATATCCCCTTTGGCTTCACGGTAGGCACGACTCATGTTCCGAATCTTGGGGTTGGGCCCCAAGTCGTAGGCGGGGACGTGGCCCGGCTGGAGCAACGGGTCATCGTCTTCGACGTAAAGCCGCGCATCAAACCGCGAGAAGTCCGACACCAGTTTCTGGAGGATAGGATAGGCAGGGTCACTGCGAGAGGACACGCAGAAGCAAACAGTTAGCTTATCGCGAGGGTAGTCCTGTCGAAAGGTCGAAGCCAGACACTCGTAGAGATGGGGTTCGAGACCCTTCACCGGTCGGATCGCGGTGACGTGGGGGGCGTTCGAAGCCGATGCGGATGAAGACTTCCGGGGTTTTCTCAAATAAAAGCGCCATCTGATGGGAATAACAGGTGGAGAGTCAGCAAAGATGCCAAGCCTGACCGAGATGGGTTGGAGAGAAACAGAAAGGTAAGAGTTACAGCTGTAAGTAACCCAGCATGCAGACAGCCACCACGACAGTATACCAAATCAATCCCACCCAACCGGCCGCGACAGCCCACTGCCAACCGCCATGGTTGATGGCTGGTTCAGCATCGGGGGGTTGCGAACGCGACTGAGGCTCTAACATAGGCGGACACAGCGAGAGGCGGAGATCTGGCAGTAGGCAGAACAGGACGATGAGGACATTCTAGGGAAAGACGCAGACAAGCCAGCAGGCAGTGAGACGAAGGACGAAGTGGAGAGAACGAGAGAAATGCGGTCGGGCTCACAAGTCGTATTCGTTGCTTTTTATTTTATTTTTTTTTTCTCGACTGGGGAGCGACGGCCACGCAAACCGTCTGCAGCGAGAGACAGACGGTAGACAAGCAATGAACCGTCGAGCCGAAGCACACTAGTGTTCCAGTCGGGATCCAGCGGATAGTTGGCTCGGGCGCTGCTGGTGGGTTTCACCGGCGAGGTTTTGCGCAGTTCATCTTTAGTTGGTTTAGTGAAACCGGCGGATGCTCGGATGCAGCCGCACTGCCTCCCCCCGGCCTCAGGCACAGTTTCCACTATAAAACATTATATTTCACTGCGTGCTTGGATGCCGTGGCTCCACGCTTATTATCTATTCCATCCAACCTGTCGGAGGAGTATTCAACCGGCCATATGGCCAGTAAGTAAGTAAATATGATATAGAATAAAAGTCCCAAAATTTGTCCTATTATACAAAATGCAAATCCATCCATCGCCAAATGCCCACCCAATTCCGACTCCGCATATGCAATTTACATGAGCTCGTCGGTGACCCCAAAAGAATCCAGTTAGAAAACTAGCCAAACCGACACGAGTAGGGTCTGTTTACGTCTTTTTCTTCTTCCGGATCAAGTTGGCTTGGAGAACGTTGACAGCCGGCGATGGATCCGACCCAGAAGATGCCGGAGGAGCCGCCGTTGATGCTCCAGCATTACCATCCTCATCAGCAGTTTTGCTGTTCTGCTCAACCTCTGCATCGGGCTTCTTGCGCTTGCGAACAAGCCCGGTGGTCATGAGCGTATTGATCTCCACAGGTTTCTGGGAAGATTCATCCTTCGTGTTTCGTCCCACCACCAGCTGTCCAACCCAGAGTTGATCTGCGAGGGAGGCTACCTTTTCACCCCACGCCTTTGTGCTAGCAATTGAGGCCTCCTCAGTATCAAAATCTTGATCGAGCAGGAAGTTGATCGCCGTTTTGTAGTCTGCTTCGCTCAGAACCGCATGTCCTCGCCCAGCTTCAGGCCAATGAAAGGCATCGGCATCCGAGGGCTGCGGGGGCTGAGGTTTAACTTCAGATGGTATAGCACCCGGCTGGGGTGCTGGAGTAGAAGTAGATCCACCCGTAGGGTCTGATGACAATTGCTTATCATGGTCTGTTGTCGTAGAATGCTCTGGAGCGGATGCAGCATCACTCGCCGATTTTGTACTTGTCACACTTTCGCCAGACATCATTTGGGACACATGGTCTGTCAGGCTCTTGGAGTCGCCAAGGACAGACCGAGAACTGGTCATTTGTACCGAGTTCACAAGTCCCGGAGGATTGATAACGAGCCACAAGAACCCAACCAGTCGTCCAGCCGAGCATTCTTGTCGGAACGACATCATCTCCCAGAACTGGTCCAGAGACCTGACGCTTCGCCACTGACCGGCACTTTCTGCGGATACTACACCCTCCGCTTCCTGCTTCGGAAGCTCATCATCCAAGTCCTCCAAGAAGCGTGTTTTGGGGTCATCCGGAAACCGGGGAACCAAGCAACGCGGGGGTGCCTTGGGATTGTCACACAATTGGTGCACAGGATAGCTAGTGAGCCATCTTGGACGGTCCTTGTCGTCCGATTTGGCCAAAGGAGGAAAGAAGCCCCTGGTTTCGAACCGATCACATCCCGGGACGATCAGGAACGCGGTTGCTGAGCTTTTGGCCGACTCCGTCTGATGATCCTGGGCCCCTTTATCCTGCGAACCGGACTCTGGCTCATACTCGCGCAAGATGGGGTCGACGACGCGACACCACCATTTGATCAGGCCGCGGTCATCTAGGACATGCTTCTGGGGGTTGTCAATGCTGCCGGGGAAGAGGTATTGGTTTTGCGCCCGAGCAAATAGCGAGACTAGCAGTCTGACACCCGGTCTCTGATGAGTTTTGACCAAAAAGGAGAGAAAGGTGTGAGAGATACGCCGGAGAATGGAAACCTTGGGCGCATTGGGCAGGAGATGAAGGTAGCCGGTGGAGTCGGCCTTGGAAACGAAGATGGTAGTCAGGTGCGCAGTGCTGTACACCAGCACCTCCATTCCAAAGACAATCACCTCCGCACCATCTTTCTCCTCTAAATTGACCGAGGCCGACAGAAAGTGGTTTTCGCAAAAGGTAGGCTCCGGCGTCTCCCCGGGAGGCGCGGCGAAGAGCGCGGTTGAAGGGGAGGGAGTCGAGGAGACATGGCGAATGGTGAGCTGGACGGGGACCGGCAGCCCTTCGGCCAGCAGCTCGCCCAATTCTACATCAACCTGAGACATCGCGGATGGTGGCTTCCGCGGATGAAGGCCAGTGGATTTGTCCAGCGAGCGCCTGTGGCGTTCTCCAAGTCTTTTTTTCTTTCCTTCTTGTTCCTTTCCCCCCCTCCCCCCCTCAGACGCGTTCCATTTCACGGGCGATCACGTGCCGGTAATCTGACGGCCTTTCTTTGCAGTCCCCGCGTCTGCAATGTGCTGCTTACACTAATTTAAATTGATCAAATGGATAGCTTTGTAACATGACAGGAGGTTCTGGAATGTCTTTAACCTCTAAATATTAGTGAAAAGTCAGTCGTTGCTCGATCAAGCGTATTCACTACTGCGCTGCTCCCGGATTAACATACTACCCTCTACCAAGGATCCGCAGATAAACCATTCTACTATGTATACAGACTTGGAAGCACCCATTATCTACCACTAATTGAATAGTACGAAGAAATGGAACACTTTTAGTATATACTTCACTCGCACCACTGCACCAAAGTGTCGGGATCTGACGCACGCCCGAGAAAGTAACGGATGGCACCATAGGAGGCAATGGTCTCAATTCACGCTCTGCAGAACAACACACTGCTCCCCT